TTCCCATCCAAAATATATCTAACCCTTGCCAATATCAATATATTTTTAGCTATCTTTTGAACAATGGTGCACATATGAGATTTCCAAGAGAATCTGTCATCAACCATGACACTCAGAAATTTGATTTCATATACTCGTTTGATGTTAGCACCCCCAATTTTCAATTGAAGTTCAAGCCGACATTTCAACAAATTGGATTTTTGTGAGAATAAATTAATCAGCTCTTCCTGCACATGGTGTCCTATTTGAAATGATCTTGTTTTGTGATTTTATGAATATTTCTAACACTTTGCACAGTGTTCTAGATAGTATTTAGTATAATAGAAAAACAAATAACTGAGGTTTTTTTTTTTTCCTAGCACTGAGATTATCATGTGCTCATCCAGCTGACAGCTCATGTCTCATTGTTCCAACTGAGGGTCATGTTCCGTGTTAAAATTTTTAAAACTAATATTTAGGTATTTAAAACATCACTCAGTGTTTCATTACCGTTTCTTAGAGGTAGGGATGCTGATCCTGGAAAATCAGCAAGAGGAAGCTTGATTTTGAAAGTAGCCAACCAAAGAAATCCCACCCTTTTATTCTGATGTCTCTTCAACGCCACTCCTCCAAAACACACCGTGCACTGCAGCCCTCACTGCCTGACTACTACTTAGATTTCAGGAAAATAACAAATGCCCCCAAACAAAACAGCAGCAGAAATACGGCCACCGTGGTGCCACTTTTCAGCCCCTTTTGTTCTCTCAGTTGTCACCATTGTTCAAAAGGCACCCCAATGTTAATTAAGCACTCAGTACATAATGTACCTCCACCAAGGGGCAACTCTGTTTCCTCATAAAAGCTATATTCCCGTGAGAGTTCGATGCTCATAATATGATCGCTTAACCATGAAAACCTACTGCTGGCATTTGGAATCACTCCGATATCATTAATAGTTTGAAAGTTGTAAGAAAAACGATAGACGTGGCATTCACTTGTTGGTTTAAGGGTAAAATGGAGACTTCAGTGAGTGGATCTTGGGCAAAGAGGTGAAGACATCACATTTCTGCAAGTCTGTGTTCTCCTTGTTCAGCAGCTGTTTGATAAACTGCTTATACATTCTCCATTACTGGCTGATTATTGCACTGTGGAGTAATAGTTCATGTCTTGTGCTCTCTGCCCAGCTGTGAGTGTGTGTCTCCTCTAAACAGAGACCGACATGGAAAATACAGTGGAAAAAGCAGAGTAGGACAGTCTGTGTCGACCTGTGAGGTTATGCTGGGTGATGGTAGGAAGCACAGGGTGTACCGCTTGTTAGGTTCCGACAGTGGAAACCCAGTTATAATCTGCAGGCGGAGCATTGGTGTCCTTGGCAATAGACTGTTTGTAGAGCTAGCTTGTTCAGATAAGGAGCGCTCACGTGTCCAAAAACGTCAGAACAAATTCTAAATTGGCATTATGTGGATAGACAGAACACATTCTCAATCTAAGTGGTTACTTTGTCACCTGAAAAAATGTCAAAGCATAATAAAATGGCATAATACTAGTCCTGCAGATGAAAATGTTAACAGCTTTGAGCCTGGCTTAAAGTCTCTGCCATCAGGCTCTCACCCAGCTGTTGCTGCTTAGACTAGATCTCTATTTCTGAAACTGAAACGCCAGAGTTTCCCTCATTTCACCTTGGGAAAAAAAACAAAAAAAAAACAAAAAAAAACTTAACCTGCTTTCTGAAATACCCCCAAACTGTAGCATGTCAGCTAGCTTTAGCAACATGAACACCGTGAACAGATTAGCCTTACACACTACATCAACATGAGTGAACAGTAAATGCCCCTAATGGCTAAATAAATGTCCCATGCAGGCTGACATAACAACATGCACTTAGAGTTCTTCATAGATGCACGTACAATAAGTCACACTACACTTTGGACTGTTAGCTGCACTCATCTTCACCCGAGTGCTCAGCAACACAGCTATGCATGTTGTCCACAAAGTAGCTCACATACATTCAACCTTTGCAGCACTCACGATGGTAAATAATCTTTTAGAAAAATCCTGTATCCAAATTGTGAGATGGATCAGCACCAAAATCTAATCAATTGTTCCATGGGCCAGACCTTACCTCCAAAAAATGTCATTAATATCCATTAATTACTTTTTGACTTATGCTAACAAACCCTTGGCAGAGGTAATAAACAGGCTGATGATGAACTTCTGTAAGAACACAATGTTGTGTTACCATCACATCAGAGGACACAGGTTGTCCTTGAGACTTATCTTAACCATTACCATAACCACTGCTCGCCTAACCCTAACCCTTTACCTTAAACCAAGTATTTCCCATAAAATTTCAGGATAATAATAATAATAATAATAATAATAATAATAAGTGAGTGTTTACGGTCACACCTTGAAGTCTGAATAAATTTCTCCCTTGTAAGCTGACTGGTGAGGATGCAGCTGCTGCACAGAACAAATTAATGAGCTAAATGTTTACTTAACCTGTGTTTGTGTGTTTCAGGACGGAGTTTGTGGAGGCTTATCTGCGCTACGTGTTCACAGACTCGGTGACGGAGCAGTACTCAGCCTTCTCCACTGGTTTCCTGAAGGTGTGCGGGGGGGAGATCCTTTCGCTGTTCCAGCCGTCCGAGCTGATGGCCATGGTGGTCGGCAACAACAACTACAACTGGGAGGAGATGGAGAAGGTCAGTATGCGGTTCAAAAAGCCTTGCATGTAGTGTTGTGTCTGACTCTCCTGATTTTCTGCAGACTGTTTGCTCTCTACACTTTCAGCATTACTATTTCCTGCTCACCGTCAGGTCAGTCTGCAGCCATGCTAGGAATGCCATTAGTTTAGCAAGTATTTTGTCATAAAACTAATTACTAGACATTGCCAAATGCTGACTTATTGTTGATGCTAATGCAAAAGTCAGAGGATCAGTATCAGTGGACAATCTGCGTTTGGCCGCCACAGAGTCATGCTGCTAGAATGGACACTGTGCTAGTATGAGGTTGTACTGAGGCACAGTGGTGCTTTGAGCTACATTGTCACATCAGCATACCAACATGCTCTGCACAAAATGTCATGGTTAAAATATGAATGGAATTATCAAGAACAAACATTTAAAATAGAAGCGTAAAGTAAGACTGATCAAATTACAGCAATAACTATACTATAAAGAGTATAAGAGCTGCCAAATTATCCAAAAAGACTCATTTGTACTTGTCCCTGGCCAAATGCCATTAAACCACATAGCCAACAAATAAATATGTCTTAAACTCAAATTATATGGAGGATTTCCTGATTTTGGAACTATGGGGATGTGTTGGCACTTGGTTTCACATATTTAACTGGTGATTCTTGCATCCTGAGGTCCCTGCGGTGCACACTGCAACATCAGTGGGAAAATGTAACGTCACTGAAATTTAGCCATAAATTATCAGTTTGTGTGTTTTTTTATGACATAGGTGAAGAAAATGTAGTGATTATTTGGTTTACTGCCACATGGGAAATGGTTCTGATCATAAAACGTAGAAAAGCTTTAAGTTACCACATCTCCTGTCTCTTTTTTGCAGAATGCTGTTTACAAAGGGGAATACACAGCCACTCATCCAACAGTCAGATTGTTCTGGGAGGTTTTCCACGAGTTCTCTCTGGAAAAGAAGAAGCAGTTCCTGTGTAAGCATTTAATTGGGTCACTACTCGATCTGCATGACAGTTCAGTTCTCACACTCTCAGCCACATCTTATGAATACTGTTATAATATGCAGGTTGTTCTTGTATGAGAATATGGTGGAAAGGCAGCAGTGTTGCCTTGAAAGCATACTTCACATTGCAAAATGCAGTAAATGTGTGAGGTCTGGCACTAGAACGAGTACTGGACAGCAACTGCCATAGCAAAGGACACATGATCCAAACAACTGCCAAAATTTGGTTAGTTTGCCAAACTAATCCCTGTGAAGTAGCAGACTTCCTAAATTTTCTGTGGATCCTAACTCCGCCCTGTGTCTTCTGCCTGCAGTGTTCCTAACCGGCAGTGACCGCATCCCCATCCATGGCATGGAGAGCCTGCGTATCATCATCCAGTCCACCACAGCTGATGAGCACTACCTGCCAGTGGCCCACACCTGCTACAACCTGCTAGATATGCCCCGCTACCAGACCAAAGAAATCCTGCGCTGCCGTCTCACTCGGGCTGTGGAGCAGTACGAGGGCTTCAGCCTGGTCTGAGGAGGGGAGGAACTCTGCTCTGCAACAGTTTGAACACACTTGAATAGCAATACCCCCCATGTCGGTGTCAAAAGAGTGTAAAGGGGAATTTTGAGACAGAGGAAGAGCACTCTCTCTCTCTACCAAGATTAACTCTCTTGAATCCGAAAGGTCTGTCTGTGGAAATGCAAAGTATTATTGTTTTTAATGGCTTAGTGCAAGGACGTTCAGCCTTTTAAAAACATTAAATGACATTTCTAAGGCTGATCGCTGTATATTTGTTGAAAATGTATTACACAGTCCTACAAAAACAGAATAAATACATCTGTATGCCATTTTGAAATTCACAGCTGTGGACCCTAAACATTTTGAAACTTAAAATCAAAGGTCAGAGAAGGTTTGAGTATTTGTGTAGTTTTATTTTTTTGCAAAGCTGTGTGTTTTATATTCAACTCCTTAAATTCAATTTTTCACCCTCAGAATTATGTTGTTACGTCGAGACAATACAGTATATCTGCTTTTTGTTATATTTAATTTATTAAATAGTTATTTTTGACAAAATAAACATATATATGTAAATATCACTGAATATAATCTTTACCCCTGATGTTGGGAGGAGTGCTCAGCAAGCTAATCCTTTTAAATCTGGACACCAGCGACTGTCCTCTGTCTTTTTTTTAAGGACAGATGAAAAGTATCTGGAAGGTAGAAGGCTACAGGATGAAAAAGTGTCATACAATTTACAAACCCTTGATTCTTTTTAACTGTGGATCACAGAACAGCTGACTGTCTTGAACCCGCATTCAACAGTGTTGCCTTCTATATGGACATGAGAAACACTGACAAGTTGACTTTTAGGGAACGTCGTCTGTGTGCATGTTGTTGAGTGAAAGCCAGAACCTGATTATCACTGAACACTTTGACATTTTGGGAAACAGTAGCTTTCTAGTGGAGAGTTAGATGAAGATAGACACTCTCACGTCCATTTGTTACATACAATGCTGCATTCAGAGGATGTCTAAGTGGGGAGTGGTCATGTTTTACTCCGCTGTGGTTATCTCTGGTGTTAACCTTGTATTCACACCAGATAGACAGCCCAAATTAGCTGCTTAGTACCAGGTGAAACTAGACTCATAGTATATGTCTATAATATTGGCCAAATTTATTGTATTGCTGTTAGCATGTGTCTGAAATTCCCGACTCTGAATTACAAGTCGGAGGCTAACCTGAGTGGGCTTTCCAACTTGGCTGCTCATTAAAGATTAAACAATGTGAATAAAGGTATAACTAGCTGTTCATTAGCTTATCTTAGCTTAGCAAAGACTGGAAACAGGAAAATTGCTCTGCTTGTAGCCTTGTAACAAAATTCGTCTACATGCCCTATCACCAGTTAACACTAATCCATACAAAAAGTGTCAAAATAATAGCTTTATTCCGGGTTATAAACCCAACTGTTCTTTGAGGTATGACCTGTGTTATACATTAGTCTGACCTCATTAAGAAAGCGATTTCAGATAGGCCCATATTACCACAGCAAGCATTTTATTAGCTATACTTTACTGCATGCTTTGTCATAACTTTTACCAAACATAGCAGTAGATTTACTGAGGTATAAATTTGACATTTTGTACTTCTCTTTGGAGATTCAGGCCACAGAATCTGACTGATCATAGAAAAAAAAGTAACACAGTCTAACATGGCAATGCAGAGAGCAGCTGGGGGATAGTAGGGAAGTTACTATCTGCTTTGCCAAGTTCATTTTGCTTCATAGCAACATGCAAGCATGAGAGTGGTATCAGATTTCCTCATCTGACTCTCCAGGACAAGCTAATCCAAAATGCCCTTTAAAACTAAACATATAAACATTAAAGTTAATAACTTTTTAATTTGTTGTTTCTAAGTTGCAGGACAAGACAATAAGCACACAGTTAACAGTAATCCATTAAATAAACTGTAGGCTAGAGTTGGTTGACATTCTATCAATCATTACAGAATTTGCCCTGATATTGTATTTGTTCATACAGACAAACCTCTTATCCAAAATGATATTTAAATAGGCTGTGCAAATATGTAAAATGTTTTTTTTATATTTCAAAAATGAGGGTCGGGTCAAAGTCACTTCAGACAGTAAAATGACTTTATGTGTAACAGGACACCTTGACACTTCTATTTAGCAATAACAGACTGAAACAGCAGTGATGCAGTGACAACTCTGGGTCAAACTTAATCTGAGATGTCTCCTAGGGCAGTTCATCTTATTGCTTAGCTCCACACTGCATGTACATGTTCTATTTGTCCAATTAAATCTGATTTCTCCTGCTAAGTTGAGTCCTATGCAAAAGTCTGTGCAGCCCTTGACTTTTTTGCACCTTTTAATGTGCTACACAAATGTTGGTTATTGCATATTTGTCTGAAATCTACACAAAGCTTTCAGCCAACTTTTTAAATAAAATACAAAGTAAAAGCACATTTCCTGCACAATTCATTGGTAAATGAAAGGTCAGCTACGTTCCGCAATTTTGGAGCTTTCAATTCAGATAAGTTCTGTAATATTGTAATTGCTTCATGTGTTTTCTCCAACAACTTTCATTTGGTTTTCGTTTCTTCTCTAAACTGTTTAGTTTTGTGTTCACCTGTTAGTGAACAGTCTCCCCTGCAGTTCACACTCACTCACCCACTCAATTAACACAACTAAGACATGATATACAATGTTAGAAAGTTCTAAAAGTTTCACGATTTAAGGCACTTAGGGTCACCTTGTCACTGGAATAGCTGTTTACACTTTGCAGCAGTACAGCAAACACAACAGAACAGTCACTCCTTACCTTTCCAGGTTGTTTGCATCCAAGTGACCATAGCCGGACATCGTTTTTATCATAAGATTCCAATGAACAAAACACACTCTTAGCGACAAAAAGTCCAAAACCCGGAGTAGTTCGGTTTGCGATTTCGACGAGCGGTCTGCCCTTTTTCTTGTACTAAACTTGTTTTTCTGTTCCACTGCTAGGATAACAATCCTACCCCGGTGACACCATGTTGTCAAGTTAGTTAGGCTTGAGACGAACATGGAACGCCTATTTACATACATATGGTTCTTACATTGGTCAATTAGCACATCAATCAATGTAATCAGCCAACCAACGGTTGAACTGCTCTGGCCAGCCGTGGGCTTTGGCAGAACGATTGACAAGCCGATTAGCCAATCAACATGCGGGTCTGGGTTACCTATTCAGTTAAAGGACCCATCGGTGTATTTTTTTTATGATTAATTTGAAGGCTATAGTAAGTGCTATGTAAATAGTTGTTCAATTGTATTATTTTTGTAAAGTAAACACTTTTAATGAGTCATTTACTCTGTTCGGTTCATTTGAGGAATTCTTAATTTTCTGTTTCATATCTTTACACATGTAAATTGAACTTTTTTGGGATAAGGACAATTCATCAAACAAAATAAGATATTTAAAAGTCATCACCTTGGACTAAAACTATGATGGCAATTTTTCATAGTTTGTCACTACTTTCTGACACATTGTTGACTATTTACTTCATTAACAAATTAATAATCTACAGAATAATCAATTATGAAAATAATGTACTGTATGTACTCCACACAAGATGATGCACATTCGTTTCAATTAAAAACATTTTCACACCAACTCAGTTGCACAAAAGAAAATCACACATCCCCAAAGACTCAGTAAAAATATGATTTCATTCACATTATATACAAAATACAATTTATGTACTAAAATGTACACACTCAAAATTAATTAAGCATTGCCAGTGTTTACATTCAGTAAAAACAAAATTCACACTGATAATCATCTGTTTTGGAGAAAGAAGGGAACAAGTACTCGCTCACAGAAATGTAAACATATACAGTGACCATATTTACATAAGAACAAAAATCCTGGAGAGGATGAGAAGGAAACAGTTTATCAGTGTGAGCACAAACATATCAGTGATTTTAAGATGAGAAATAGCTTATTTGACATGAAGTAAATGGGGGGAAATGCACATCAATACATAAAATAAGGACATCAAACACTTACGCATGTACCAGTGATTACAAAAATAAACTGAAATATGCCAGAAATTTGTGCCATTTTGGTTCACAGTTTGTACTTGTAGTCATTGTCTTTGGGCTGTTTGAAAATTAGAAGCCACTTCTTTTAATGAGCAAATACTCGACTTAACTTCTGAAGAAGCAACATAAGATTATCTCAGAAGCTATATGATGGTCAGAAGTGAAATAGAAAAAGCTATTTGTTTAGTCAACACTGTTAAGCTGATTGAGGTACAAATAATATCTTCTTTACAAAAATACACATAAACCTTGATTGCCAAGTCCTTCTTTAAAAATAGCAGTGATTTCATATCTATTAATGTTTTTTTAAGACTTCTATAGTGAAAAGTGAGAAAAATAACTTTTCTGTTCTGATACAAACATTCAAAAGGAAAGAAATAAATTATTAGCAATGCAAGTGTGATTCAGGTTACTTGTGCATGTCTTGCTTACGTCTTGAGAAACATCTGCTTGGGAAGGTGAGGTTCTTTTGGAAATGATCTTTGTGCCCCTCTCAGTCAGCGGCTCTCTGCAGAAATAGAACCCGCTGTGCTTGACAGAACGGAATAACTGGCTAACAGCTGAGCTGTTCCCAAAGTCAGCACAGATGGCAATGAGAAGGAAAATCAGACCTTTTCTCCTGTAGGGTGAGATGTGTTTGACTGTATCTCTGGAGACTAAACTTCAGTCTGTCTTTGAAGTCTTTTATTTTTTCTCAGTTTAACTTAGCTGAGTCTCTTTTGCTGATGAGAACTTCCAGCAGTCGCAGTTTGGCTTTAATATGCTTGTATTCGTTGTACTCCACTGCGAACGGGGTGCGGTCCTCCTTCTGCGCATTTCTATGGGAACAAGACGTGGAGAAGGTTCAACAGTGGAAAAACCATTATTCATTATATAATCTGAACACATTCATCTCGTCTTTTACCTTCCATTTTGTCTAAAGAACTGATCCTCAAACTCTTTCAGGGTTTTGCGGACTCTCTTCTTCTCCTCTCTGGTGTCTTGGAGCTGTTCCACGAGTTCCTGCCTGAGATTAAGAGTAACATTTAAATATCTCACAGTAAAATATTTCAATGTGTCGAAGGTTTATAAAACAGAAATGTAAGAAGCACTCAGGTTCTTTACTTAAAAAGTACCAATAAAACAATAGTTATGTATACAAATTTGAGGCATCTTCAGATGATTAATGGGGCAGAAAAGAACACAAACGTGTACTACATGTTTGGATTTGTGATCTTTGCTTTCTGTTAAAATAATGGGCCTCAAACAGGTCAATACAAAAAAAAAAAAACTGAGAAGTTTAATATTTCCTTTATAGTGAACTATCAAGCACCATAAAATGGAAATACCTCAAAATTGTATTTAAATGCAGAACTACAGTAAATATACTGAGTGACTTTGCACTTCTGCCATCGTGTGAGAACATTTTTGGCTTTGAGTAACGTACATGGTGGCAGAGTGCAGGTTGGACAGCCTCATGTCTGTTGTGGTTTTAGAGGGTGAGAATTCGTCCACTGGTGAAATAAAACCATCCATCTCCTCGTCCATGTGGTCCAGGAAGCCAAACAGGCTGAGGTCGGGCCGGACAGTCACACTGAACTGACTCTTGGAGTCTCCATCATCCTCTGAGCCGTCCTCTTCCTCCTATGGGAGCATAAAGAGTTCAAATCGTGGCCGAGGGCGAAAAGGTATTGAAACCGAGGCTGTCAACAGGCGTCCGAGCTCAAATACCGCACGTCATTAAGACCATACAGTGTTACTGATCGGCAGTTATAAATCATGGTAAAGCAGTTTAATGCACTTCAGTGGTTTTTGTTTGTGATTCATGTCTATACACATTAGCATACGAAGATAATGAGGGCAGTCGACTAGAAGACACAAAATCCACTGAGAAGTTTACACAACCTAAAAGTCCCGAACCAGCTATAAAATATCATCTAACAGCATCAAATAACACCAACTATCCAGGAATACACGCCAGGAGGATGATTTAGTTTTTCTGAGATTGGATTAGTTTGTCTTAAAACACAGCTAAAGGATCATTCTGGTTTGCTACAACATACAGTAGCTCTGACCATCCTTTCTACCAGTTATGATAACACCATACTCATTAAAGTAAACACTGACATCTGGGAACATGCTGACAGTCACAGACAGATGATCAGATGGATTGTAGACAAGTAGGGGTGTGATGAGATCTTGTGCCATGAGATCTAGCGATATTAAAACGTGACGATATTTCTCGTCAAGGTAAAAGCTGCCTCGCGATATCAGTAGTTTGGCAAAAACGCAACTCCCTGCGTTTTGGTTAATACTTTTAAAGTTAATCTTCACCTTCTCTTGTAAATCATTCAGAGGTTCATTTAAAATCTGTATGATCATCTGCCTGCTACTGTAGTGTTTCTCACCTCTATGGTTGTTTTTGAGCAACACATTGGTCACAATGTCATTATTACTGAGGAATTAAAAATAAGATCCAAACCAGATTGACCCTTTAAAACACAGCATTTAGCATTTATATATTAGGGTTTTCAAAAACTGCATCAGAGAACACCCAGGCAGCTACTGATTCAACATTTCTACAGATGCTTTTCTATAATACTGTTGACAGAAAACAGGAAACTGCCCAATCAACAAGCAGCAATCAGGTTCATTAGAGAGTAAATCGCAGCAAACAAGGTGGAGGTGAGGATGGAAGGTAATAGGGTGGAGTGAGGAGGGGGAGCTGGTGACCGATTATTGAAGCAGCAGCAGCTCTTCACCTTGATATCATCGAAGAAGAGTGCAGTTTCACCCTCGATAATAGGCTGAAGAAGGGGACCTCTGCGCTTGCTGGAGGGCGAGCCCTGTGGTGACGGTTAAGAAGGAGGAGTTAACCATGCTGAGATGCTCACTCTGGCATGCACTGCTTTCCAGTTTTCAATGAGCTCTGCGTCTTTGTATCAGAGCTGAAAGTGTTTTTCTTCCTTTCTATCTTCTGTCAGACCAGTGTAAAATCACCCTTTTTCCTAAGCAGGTTTAAACAATAATCATTTTATTTTGAAACCCTAATTTGATTCTAATCAGTCTTTTAACATCTAAACAAACAGTGGCGTTTCTATATTTGTGCCTCTGTACATTTTGACTGAAAGCTACTGTTCTGAGACCAGGATCATAATTGTAATCGGGTAAATTCGGGTTTGGGAATATTTTATTCTGGTTTGAAATAGGACTGTTTGATAAATCATTGTGTGAGAATAATTTAGATCCCTGTGCGATTTCAGTGTCACGTGACAATGTGATTGTGCCGTGTTTGCATAAGCACAGAGATGCCTTACACCATGCATTCCCTTTTCCTCGCTAACCTGCATTAACCAGTAGTAGGACTGGTTTACATCATGTGATGAGCTGTAGACAGGAAGAGAAGACTGATTCAAAAATAAACCCAAAATGTTTGACACTGTGAAAGCCTGAGAGCCTGAGCCTGAGATTGCACAGGGGTTTAAATCACGCTCACAAAACAATTTGTCGTGCTGCCCTAGTATGAAAAAGTGCTTGTTTCTGGCAGGAAAAAACTATTGTCAGACTAAACAACACTGGATTTATGCACTGTACTCCAACATCATCTGACGTGACCTTCCAAGAATAATAAAAATGCTGCATAATGACTTCTATTGTATAAAATAATATATGGCAGTGATCCAAATTAGCATAATGGGGATTAGAAGTGCTACATTACGTAAAATGTGTGTCTATGATTGCGATCACATCCTACATAACAAAAACGGTTATTGAATAGTTTACTACACAAATAATAGGGAAACTAAAGGATATACACTAGTTTATATGCAGAATTATTTAATGCAACCTAGATAAATCAAGCAAACAACATTCAAAGTAGCATTAATTATACTGATGGTAGTTTTTTCTGCTTTTTAGCATAAATTTAAACATAATATGAGAGTTGACTATTTGTACAGTTTCTGACTCGTTCCTGCACTCGACTGTTTCATATAGTCATTTCCTGTGACCTCATTCTGCCAACTATGAGCTCCTTAACAACCAGGGGGCTCCACCAAGCAGCTGAAGCTGGACTTGGAGCCTCAAAAGGTGGACAACACATCCATGGCACAACCACTGCCAGTTCCTACAGCAAAAACTAAAGCAAGCATGAGCTGGGATTATCTGCAGACGTTTGAACAATGTGGTGATCTTTGCTGCTGTGTTGACAAAGAGAAACACAACAACCAGGCAGCTGTGGAGGAAAACAAGGAGGTAAAGGTGTGATACTTACAATGACAGGGATGGTGGAGGCTCTGCACAGGATCTGCTTAACCAAGCGGTATCTGTCGTACAGGGGTTTCATGATTTGCCTCTCGCTTTTTGTGACCTGAAATAGCAGAAATGAGGGCAACAAAGAGACCTTGTTAGTGCTGTATTAGCTTCTTTCTGCCATCCCGTCTCCTTGCAGACCAACTAGATGAAGCTCTAACATAAACCATAGTGACAGCTAACCCACATTGGCCCACAGTGACTCTCCAGCCCATTCTTCAGAGCATGAAGGTCATTAAACACAATCCATAGGGGCACACAGCATGAGGAAGGACAGAGGTGACAGAAAGGTCAGCTGCACTTTCTGAAAGATGACAAAACTACCTGGGATCAAACGGGACAATTACTGCAACTGGATTTGGCCAGACAAACACAGAGAATGTCTGTAATTTTTTTATTTCTTACTTTTCATTAGTTAGAAAACAGACGTACAATGTGAAGGCTAAGCAGATACACACACTCTACCTTGAGACATTATTAACCCTTGACTTACAATCTGGGTCACAATCAAGTGGTAAACAATGTCCTCTCTGGCAGGAGATCAGATATATAGGGTGTATCGTGCATATCTGTGTGTCTGGGTTTGTTTACATGAGCAGTGCAGATGGAAGATGACTTACTGGTCGGCCGTGGATGTTCTCATAGAAGAGGAGAGCTTTTTGCAGAGCAACTTTCTCGGCTCCAATCTGCTCCCGTGTCATATCCTGTGAGCAGGGAACAGGAAGCGAGTCGACACATTTTAGAAATGAGTTCATTCTCTGTTGCGCAACATGAGCTATTCCTCATGTTTGATTTGAACACATATGCACAAATACAATTTTGAGCCCTGTTGATAAAATCAAACACTTTTGCCAGCTTTAAAATTTATGCTGTTCATTTTACACATAACACCCATTTGCAGGAGATGATTTATTTATTCATCTGTGAGAGAGTGTCCTATGGGCATAGTCTTACTTTAATGTCTTCAGGGAGGTTCATCTCCTCCCTCTTCTCCTGCAGCTTCTTTGAAATTGTCTCCAGGGTGCTTTCCACCGGCGGCTTCGGTGCTTTCTCCTGCTGAGGCTTCTTCTCCAGCTGAGAGCCAAAGCTTTTTGGTAGTGTGTTGCTACGCTGACGGGTCTGAGGTGGCAGATCCTCTTCTGACTTTATCAGCTTGTGTTCTAGTGAAGAAGAGGAAAAATATGAGTTTTACTGATTTTAACTTGAATCATCTCATTGCAGACAGTTGCTTTTGGGATTGTTATCTACTTCTGCGTCTTACCTTTTAGTTCTTTACGAAGCCTGGCCAGTTCATTCACCCATCTGAGCACCTCTGGGTTTGCAGCTTTATCGCTGTGTGAAGGCTGCACAAAAAAGTAATAAAAACATGAAAACAGATTTTCCTTTCAAAATAAAGCACCAGCACCCACAGTTATTATTCACATTAGCATAACTGTACCGACGATAAATCTGAAGTAGAGCTCTATATGGAGTCATCAGAGCCTCCTCACATAATCTATAATTTGTTTATAGTTTGGAAAAACATTCTGTATTGGAGGGCACAGTTTTGCTGTCTCTTCACATGATAAATGAACAGGTTATTTCTACTTACCCTGTATTTTCGGTCCTCTTCAAATTTCTCCTCAAATCTGTGGATCTTTTTCTTCAAGACATGAATTCTCTTAGTGAGCTGAGCCGACGTCAGCTCCTCTCTCTCATCATCACAGGAGCCAAGGGATGAACTCCGCCTGCGACTAGATAGACAAATAATAGTGTTAATATCACTGACAGACGCAGACATGTAAAAGGCACCCACCTCTACTACAATGGAGCAAGAGCCAGTGGCATTTCTTTGCCTCTTTGTAGTTGTTTTGAGTCTGTTGCCATTTTAAACCTCCTTGCAATCACTCTGCATCTGTTTGTTGTGTTGTGTGTCTTCATAGTTGTTTTGCCTTTTTCAAATCATTTGATTGACTTTCCGACGAGAAATGTTAACAGTAATTTCAAAGAGAATAATGGGGCCAGGGGCCCCTTAAACCCTTGGGCCCAATAGGCCGGTTCCAGATCTTCTGTACCACCTGTATCTATAAAAACATGTCAGGTGTTTACCTGACAAAAGAGTGTGCATTTGGTGGTGAGGGAGGCACTTCAGTGTCGTCCAGGTACTGCTGGCACTGTCCATAGGCGTAGAAGCGAGGGGACACCATTGGGTCACTATCCTCCTCCAAAAGCTGGCGGATCAGTCTTCCTCCAGCATGTGGGGATAGTCGAGCTTCCTCTCGGTCCATGCTCTCCCTCTGCAGCGAGTATGCTGGGACTGGTTCTGAGTAACACACAAACATATATATTCCATGTGACACATGCTTGCTTTGCTGTCAAACAGAAGATACACACAGAAGAAATTTGAGACAGTGCAAACAAAAAGACAGGTTAGTCAGGATGCCTTATTTGGGAATGAGGTACATGCTGGACAGCAGAGAGCACATAGCTTGCTTTAGCATTATTTTTCTCAATCAGTTAACAGGTTGCTCTGTAAAATGTAAAACATAATGAGAAATACTTAGCATCCTA